GCCCCCTCTCACAGTTGCTGAATGGGTACCGCCGAGAGCCCATAACGGGTCAGAGCCTGGGAAACGGTGTCGCAGCAGAAGACCACAACAAAGAGCGGGAGGAAATGTGCCTTTATTTGTGGCACCTGTGAAAAGGCAGGGTGTCAGCTCACAGGCTGCATTGTCCTGGAAGAGGGGGAAACAGATGGCCGTTTCAAGGAACCTGATAGCATTGTGTGGGGCTGGGCAGGGGTATCCTGCTGGGGGCGGGGGGGGTGAAGGTGGGGGGGCACCAGGACAGAAGCTTTCAGCTAAGAGCCACAGCAGTGTGGAGAAGGAGCTGACTGTGGCCACTTCCTCCTGGGAGGAGGGGCCGGGAGAGGGTGGAGTGAACAGGCTTCCATTGTCCGCCTGCTGCTGTTCCTGCCAGAGCTCCCCTGAGGACCCAGGAGAGATGACTGCAGGGTACGAGTGCGGGGAGAAAGCTGAGGACAGAAGTGACCTCGGGGCAGGCATGACCGGAGTGGGGAAACACGGTAACAGGCGGTGCGCAGGCAGGGCTCAGGACACTGCTCACATCTTCCTTCCTCCTGCCTGCGTGCTGGCTGTGCGTCCTGAGCTGGAACGGCTCTTACCTGAGTACACAGCGCTGCTGTGCGCGGCTTCCCTGAGGAGTGGTGGGGGAACCTTTCAAACTGGAATTCCAGGCTCTGCCACTGTGCAGCTATGTGGTGTTGGGTGAGTCCTTTAGCCGCCTGGGATTCTTACACCAGAGGAGATGCCAAGGTTCCTCCCTCGCTACAGGTCTACCGAGAGCGCCTCCTCTGCGGGTTGCAGGCTGCTTGCTGTCAGTGGGTTGAAGAAATAAGTGTGAATGGGTTCTTCCCCAGCACCTTTTCTCTAGTTACAGCCTTCGGTGCTACCAGGCCTGGTGCCTGGTGAGCAACTGAGTTCAAAGAAGCAGAGAGAAGGTTGCTTCGGAAACAAGGAAGGCAGGCTCGGACGGTTCTGAGGCTGTCTCCGAGTTTCTCTGGGGTTTGCTTCATGGAGAAGGAGGAGTGAGTCACACAGGTTCTGAGACACTCAGCCAAGCGCCGCTTCCCCAAACCCCTGTAACCTGATGTGCAGACACCAGTACGTGACTGGAATGACACACTCGCCGACTGATTCTCCCTGGATGCCGCTTGCCCATCACCTGAGCCTGAAGCTGGGCATTCCAGAGTCCCCTTCTCTTACCTTTTCATCCTCATCCTGTGTTTTCCAGCTGGGTCGTCACGTGTGTTCCCACAGCGACCTAAAGACCGGTGCGTCTCCAGCCCACGTGCTGATGTTCCCCTCTGTGTTCTGTGTTAAGTGGCTAATGCAAGGGTCCCCAACCTCCAGACCATGGACAGATACCAGTCCCCGCCTGTTAGGAACCCGGCCACAAAGCAGGAAGTGAGCGTGAATGGAATGTGCTTGAATCACCCCAAAACCATCCCCCCACCCTGGTCTGTGGAAGAACTGTCTTCCACAAAACCGGTCCCTGATGCCAAAATGCTTGGGAACCGCTGGGCCATTGGACACCTCCAGTCTGATGTCCCATAGGCACCTGCTACACTCACCGTGTCCCAGCTGCACCCCCCAGCCTCACTCCCAGAGGCGCCCTCTCTCCAGAGTTCCCTCCTCGGTGCTGGATGGCCTTCCCAGGCCCCTGAAGGACTGCCTGGGGAGTCCCCCCCCCCAGAAGGTCACTGCAGCTTCCCACATCCAACCAGCTGAGAAGCTGCGCCATGGCCTCGGACTCTCCCTATATCCCTCTCCGCGTGTTTTCCTCGGGGGGTTACTCCCTTTTCCGAGCCTGCTCTCCTGTGGTCCCACTCCCACCAGAAGAACATCCCTGCTCTTTAGGGTGACCCGAGAGGCTGGATGCCTTTTCTCCACCTCTGACCCCCTTCCTCCTTCTTTGTCCCCACCCCCCAGCCATCTTGAGCTGCTGACAGTTCAGCCAATGGTCACAGGCTCCACGCTCTCCACCAGGTGGGGCTTGTCCCCACCAGGTTTCTGTCCGTGGAGTCTCTCCCTCTTGCCCCAGCCAAGCTGCTCACCTGGCTGCCTCCTTCCTCCTGGCTCTTCAGGACCCTGTAGCATCTCCTTGGCCTGCAGGCTTCCTGGGCCCGCTCATCTAGGTTAGTGGCTCCTCCTGGGGACTTTCACGGCAACCTGCAGTGATCTTTCTCACGGCACCGATGGCATCGTTTAAACTGATCCTCCAAAGCGGGTCATGGAGATTATTATCGGCTCCTGGCACAGTGCCTGGCTCTCAACATGTGAGACAAATAAGCACCTTTTATAAAGAGAGAGAGAAACTCTCAAAGTTGTCTCGGGGTGGCGGTGGGACCTCAGAGTGCTCACACACCCATTGTATTTATGAAACCCACCGCAGGGACAGATCCCTGTGGCTGCCCACGGGTGCCCACAAACCCCCACAGTAGCTGATCTCTCAGGTTGTCTTGTACCACCTGTCACCAGCTCCTCCATATCACCTGAGGAGTTGACTCACTACCTGCCGCCCAAGACCTGGTGACTAACAGATACCTGGGCATCACTGCCAAGTTTAAGAGAAGTCAGGCGAGGAATTGCGTGTCAGCTGTCCAGGTGCCAAGTGTCAAAGCCGAGGACTGCCTTTGCATTGTTGTTCGTGCCTTCAACCGAAGCAGCTTGCAAAACCAAAGAGATCCCGTGCGGGCTCTGAGGCCCAGCTGAGAACCCAGGCGTGTGGTCGGTAGGCGACGGGGTAAGAGGGTGGAAGTAGTTGCCGCCAGGGCCAATAGTCCAGGTTGTTCCTGGAGACACCGTTGCAGAGCCGATCAGAAAGGAGACTGGTGGTACCCCGTCTCCCTGGCCCCCTCTCTCTCAACACTGCTGCCATCAGATTAATGACATTTTTCAACGCTGACAGGAATGACAACCTCATGGGGAAACGAGTATGTTTCGCACTGGAGGAAAGATTAAAACAACATCAAAAAGCAAAAGGTTTTCCTATACAAGGGCTTACACACTTAACCTGCACAAAATGTCATGAGTTAATATCTTTGTCTCAGGGTTATAATTTTTCTCCTGAAAACTTTAGAGTTATTTCCAGAATTCCATCTCAAACGCCATGTGTGAATTTCAAGGTGTGCGAGTACAGTCAGCTGGGTGAGTGGAAGGACAGGGGAAAGGGGGGACCACACACTCCAGTGATGGGCGAGAGAGTTATTATTGCCCTCAAATGCCAATGTGTAACATAAATTAAGGTGTAAAAAAAAAGTTTGAGAACAACAACAAAAACCTCTAATGATTTTTCCGATGCAAAAAGATAGAACTTATAAAATGAATGATTAGAAGTATAGGTTAGATTTAGAAAGGAAATCTGAGTACAAATAATTTCTTTCAGTGGAAAACAATATTTGGTGTTAAGTTTGGTTATTATACTATTAAAGGAATTTACATAAATAAAAAACTAAGGTACGTTATATTTTTCATCACAAAAGTACTTTTGAATTTAGAAAACATTAAGTTGCACCGTGTTCCATTACAAGGGTTAGTAAATTGCTAGCTTTAAGAATTATGTTTATGTCCACACCTTTTTAGAGCACAGCTCTCAGAATAGGAACTGATTTTTCAAATGGAAATTCAGAACGCATTAGGGTGACTGTTATGTTTAAAGCTGGGACATTCTTCTGGCAGAGGATTCTTTTTTTTTTAAGATTTTATTTATTTATTTTTAGAGACGGAAGGGAGGGAGGGAGAAAGAGAGAGAGAAACATCAACGTGCAGTTGCTGGAGGGTCATGGCCTGCAACCCAGGCATGTACCCTGACTGGGAATCGAACCTGCGACACTTTGGTTTGCAGCCCGAGCTCAATCCACTGAGCTACGCCAGCCAGGGCCAGAGGATTCATTTTAAAGGTTCAACAGCACACAGAATACCTGAGCTATGCCTGTCCTCAACTAGAGCCAGCTTTGGTGTCCTTTCCTTGTCCCGAGGAAGAAAATCCAGTCGGTACTTTCAGGCCCCAGAGAGGCGCCTACCTCCTCTCCAACTCCCAAGGGGACCTCTCAGTTCCTGTGTGCAAGGGTTCCCTCGGCCAGTTTCTAGCCGTGAGATCTTAGGCAAGTCATTTAACTTCTCTGTGCCTCAATTTCTTCATCAGTAATTTGGGGACAACCGTTTCTTCTTTATAGATTTGCTGAGGGTTAAATCAATTTAGGTTGTTTTAGGACAGTTAAAACTGGTGATTAGGAGATCCTCAGTAGGAATGAACAATCATCATTATTGGCACTGGAAAGCTCGCATTCTTTCTAAAGAATTGGCATGGATAAAGAGAGGCTTAAGTTTTGTGACATCTTGTTAGTACACACACTCAGGCTTTGCAGAAGACCAAATAACTTTCAGTGAACAGTCAAAATCATTTAGATAAAAACATCTTGTCTTCAATGTCCTATTGTTCAAAAACCAAATAAAAAAAGACAAAAGGGAAACATTTCTGGCGAGGGGACAAGTTGTGCAAATTGTTTTAAAGCAGTCATTGTGTTCAGGTGGCCTGGCGCAGCCACCACAAACACGAGAGGCAGATGCAGGGAGGAAATCAGAGCCCTTTGTGGGGCCATAGAATGGATGTCTTTTCAACCAAGCAGATTGCTATCGGCCTAACAGAGTGGACTCGGGTTCCTCTCTGCCCGGTCATTTCCTTTACTCCGTGTCTGTAAGAACCACCCCGTCGGGTGTTTCACAGGATTACAGGTTTTTAGGTCAAACAGAAACCCTAGGGAACGCCTGAAAAAGCCAAACACAGGCAGTTCAGTGACGCAGGAGCTGGATGTCATCAACCCCAGTGCTGTCGGGAGTCGCAGAGGCTGTGGTGCCCCAGTTTGTGTGGATTCTCTCCCTGTGGGACCTCCGGCAACCAGGGCCACAGGTAAGAGCTTTGCTCCACAGTAGCTGACGGTTCCCCGGTGGGCCGCAGGCTCTGCTGAGGACCAGCTGCTCCTTCATCCGTTCCGGGAGCAGGGACAGCCTCCTCAAGCAGTCCAGGATGGAGGAAACCCAAGAGCCCCTGGCCATGACAGTCCACCTCCTTGCCAACTCCGGGCATGGCTCACTTCTGCAGCAAACTCTGGACCAGCTCCTGGACTGCATTTGCCCAGAGGTCCGTCTCTTTATGGTGTCAGAGAGGGTCCGTCCGGTGAAAAACTATGACAAGGGCCACCCCAAGAGGTCCCGGTTCCCGGGGATGTCTGTGTTGCTCTTCCTGCATGAAAGCCGCGGCGAGGAGCGGCTGTTCCGCGCCCTTGACTCCCTGCAGCGGTGGCCGTGGCACTGCTGCCCCGCCCCAAACATTCAGGGAAGCCTGGGTCCCTGCCTCCTTGCCCGCCAGGAGTTCTACAGTCTGGACAATCAGATGCCTGTCTGGGGCGTGAGGCAGGTGCACTGCGGCACCGAGATCCTCAGGGTGACGCTCTACTGCACATTTGACAACTACGAAGACGCCATCGGCCTCTACGAGATGATCCTGCAGAGGGAAGCCACCTTGCAGAAGAGCAACTTCTGTTTCTTCGTGCTCTACGCCTCCGAGCGCTGCGCCCTTCAGCTGTCCCTGAAGCAGCTGCCCCTCGGGATGTCAGTGGACCCAAAGGAGTCTTCCGTGCTGCAGTTCAAGGTTCAGGAGATCGGCCAGCTAGTGCCTCTCCTGCCCCATCCGTGCGTCCCCATCAGCCGCACCAGGTGGCAAACGCAGGACTACGATGGCAACAAGATTCTGCTTCAGGTACCAACTGTCCCACCTCTCCTGTCCCGTAGATGCACAGAGAATGGTGTGATTTCACATTCCAGGTGGGCCTGAGAGAGGACGCAATGTGGGGGTTCACGGGCTCGTTTGCACATCGTAACCCCTGGGGAGCTCTCAGAAACCGCCAGATCAGTCAGAGCGGAATCTCCGGGGCCGTGCAAGCCTGGGCATTTTTTTTTAAAAAAGCTCCTTGGTTCTAATTTGTAGCATGTAGTGGCACTGAGAGCCACTGATCTAGTAAAATCCCTCCATCTGACAGATGAGGAAGTTCAGACTCTGTGGGCAGACAGCTGCTTCTGGGAAAAGTTGTTGATTGACTGCTTGTTTGCAGGAAATAAGTTAGTTCATCTCTAGAGAATGGGTATATATGCCAGAAGCCAGTTTGGCATAAACGAGCAGGCGTTCCTTTTCATTTTATCCACAGACATGCAGCTAAATTCATCTTTATGCTCTTTTCAGCCATTTAAAATAAAAGAACATAGTCTCTCATGAAGTAAGTAATTCATTTTCCTCTTCTTCTGTAGGATTTATTGACGTCTCCTTTGTCATGTCTGAGTCTCCCAGCTGTGCTCACTGGGATGCTGTTCCTTCCTCTGTTTCACTAATTTCCTTTCCATTCTCCATCCCTGTCCCTAAAGCACCCCACGCTGCTGCACACGCGCATGCACACGCACACGCACACGCTCTCCCATTCCCACACTCTCACTCCCAATAGTGTGGTCTACGCTGCCTTGAAAGAACATGTACGGGCGTTTCTCAGAAGGCTGCTGCTATAGAATTGCAGGTTAATATCAGTGGTTCTGGTTAACTAAAATAAGTATCCCTCAAAAGATCAGTTTATTCAAAGAATCTGGTTTTCCACTCTCAAGTAAGCAAGCCCGCCACTGTTTGGGGTTGCTTACTATCTATCGAATGCATAATTCATTTCCATGGCATTTTTTTCTCTGTGTGGGAGAAATCCTGTTCTTGCTATCTTTTGGAATCACAGTTAGGGAGAGACACTATGTTGTCCCTTTATGAGGTCAGTCTGACCCTTAAACGCTTAATCATTTTTCAGCGATGTCTATTTTCTTGTTTCTACAGTCAGTTGAGTGACAGATGATCTTCCTGTTCATCAAGACAGTTGCTAACATTCCCTGAAACTTGAAAACATCCTAGCTCTCAATTTGGAACATCTTACAAGATTTCTTAGAGAGATGGGCTCTAAATGATCAGAATTTCTACAAAAGCATTTCAATTTATTTTTTTGGCAGAAGGGACTTTATTCTTCCTCAAGGGATTTGTCTCAATCACTCAGCATTATGTGTCTTCTAAAAATTCTTCATTCTAGCTGCACACATCTGCATTTCTATGTTAATAGTGTTGTACTCACTTCTGCCATATGGTTCAAGGCTTTTAGATGTTTTTTTTTGAAGAGTTTATTTATTTATTTTTAGAGAGAGGGAAAAGGAAGGAGAAAGAGAGGGAGAGAAACATCGGTGTGTGAGAGAAACATCGATTTTGAGAAAAACATCAGTCAGTGGCCTCTTGCAAGGCCCCAGCTGGGGACCTGGCCCACAACCCAGGCATGTGCCCTAACTGGGTTTTGAACTGGTGACCTTTTGCTTTGCAGGCCAGTGCTCAATCCACTCAGTCACACCAGCAAGGGCTAGACTTTTCTTAAAAAACAAACAAACAAACACAAAACAACAACAGTTAAAATTTCCCCCTCTTTAAAAGATTGCAGAAATGGCCAGCTGTGTGATGAAGATCACTTTTCATTTTCTTGATAAGACTTCGTTTATACCTAATGTCAATAATTAGAGGCCTGATTTATAGATTCTACATTTCTATGTGCAAGAATTATATTTTTTAGGGATTCAGCTTTCATTATTTATCCAACAGATACGTACTGATTGTTTACCACGTATTAGGCACTGCCCCCAGTACTGGAAGCACAGCGATGAAGGCATATACAACCCCTCTCCTCCAGATGCTCACGTCTGGACGAGGAGCCGGAGAAGTAAGCAGACTAGTGCAAAACCGTGTGGTGTGCGGCATGAAAGGACAGGATGCCAGGAGAGGTAGTCACAACACTAATTATGATGATAATAACCAACTTATATTTAGCACTGCTATGCCCCAGGCACTATTATCATTTAATGTTCTCAGAAGATCTTGTGACAATGATACTTAAGTATCTCTTTTTATGGGTGAGGACACTAAGGCACGGGAAGATTAGATAACTTGTCCAAAAGTTCTGCAAGCAATAAATGGCAGAGTCAATATTTAGGAGCATCTAACTCGGATCCAGTGGTATCGAGAAGGCTTCCCAGAGAGAATGATGTGTAAGCTTGGAGTTGACAATGAGCAGGAGGTTTTGGGAGAAAAGGTTAGAGGAGACATATCTCAGACAGAGGAGAAAATATTCACAAACACTGGCAGCAGGAAAGGACAAACAACGTCCGACGAATGGAAAGAACTTCAGTTCTGATCAATGGAGCTTGAAAGGGAGGAAGTGGTGGCTTCAGGCTGGAGTAGGAAGGGGCGGACGGTGACGGGCGTGGCAGGCCATCCTCCAGGGCTGAGAGTGTATCTCAGGAAGAATGGGGAGCCCCTGCAGCAGGAAGGGGCGGTGAGCACCACTGTTCCCACACTCCTCTGGCGGCAGAGTGGAGACAGATTAGAGGGCTGGGAGAGCATCCACAGGGAATCCCTGCAGAGGGCCGCTGCAGGAACCCAGCCGAGAGACGAGAGACAATGACAGCCTGCCCCAGGGCTAACACCAGCAGTGGGTGCGGAGAGAGAGGAAGATCTGAGAGACCTCTGGAAGGCAGAGTCCACGGGAATGGGTGACATCGGGGGAGATGATGTTCTTGCTGGGGTCCCGTGGGGCTAATGATGCCATTTTCTAAGACAAGAAGAGGAGTAAGTGCAACAGATTTAGTGTGAGGAGGGAGATGAGATCCACTTTGGGAATGTTGAGTTTGAGGGTCTGGGGCCTTGAGGACACTGGGTTAGATAAGTATGGAGCTTACGAGACAGAGCTGAGCTGTAGTTATACTGGGGGAGCCTTTGTCATTTTGATAATAGTGAAGGCATGGGTGTCAATGAGGTTGCCCCGGGAGAAGGGGGCGGAGGGAGAAGGGGAAAGGGCCCAGGGTAGCACTCAAGAGCTCAGAGGGAAGGGGCTCCTTCAGTGGACGCTGGGAAGGACTGGATGGACCGGAAGGAGCAAATCCAGAGGGTTGGGTTGGTAAGAAACGTAAGGAGAAGAAGACATCAAATGTAAAGGAGGAAGGGCAGCCTGGTAAACTCCCCCCAGAGCACGAGTTACAGTGAATGACGAGGAGGCCGACCACAGGGGATGTCGGCAAGAGCACTTTCAGTGGTAGGAGGGAACGTCAGTGTCAGGGGCAGGAGAAATACGGGAAGGTTACAAGGGAAAATGGATGTGGGCGAAAGTTTATCAACCGGCTCGACTATGAGGGAGAGGGGACAGAGAGCTGGTGGGGGGAAGAGGGTTGAAAAAATGCATTTTTCATGATGGACAGACATGACCAGATTTCATCACTGTCAGCAAGGAGGAGGGGATCTATCTATCTATCTATCTATCTATCTAAGAGAAAGAGATTGAACAAACAAGATCATAAAGTGGGAGAAAATGAGTAATCGACAGGGTGGGGTCCCCAGGAAGGCAAAAGTCTTTGGGGGGACTGCAAAGGTTTACTTTCATTGTGGATCGGATGGGAAAGTCGCAATGGTGGAAAACTGATAGAGCTGCTAATTAATACTGGCTTTTGTTTTCTCTGTAATCTAGAAGGTGAGACCACCTGACGACAGGTAGGGGCAGGTCATGCCACTGGTTAAGGACAGTGCAGAAGGTTGGAACCACGGTCCTGGTGAATGGAGAGAGGTGCCTAAGGAAGCAGCAGGACAGGCAGGTGGCCGCGGCGGAGTTGGAAGTCACGTGCCTTCACGGTGGCTCCAGGCTGAACAGCTCTGAGTGTCCTGTCAGTGGCCGGGGGGTATCCATTCAGAAAGTGTGGGCGGGCTGATGGACCCAGGGTTGGGAGGTCTGGAGGGAAGCTGTAACAGAAAAGGAGCAGAGCAGGGAGTTGGAGGCATTGGAGGTACCAGTGATGGTCTTCAGACTCAAATGGGCAACGGAAGGCAGTGAAGACAAAAGGGGCCGAGGAGAGAACGAGGAGGGGGCGATGGTGTTCGAGAGCAGATGTGACGGGAGAGCGGAGGGCTGGCACTGAAGAGCGGGCGGTGGCCCGAGCGCGCCAGGTCTAAGCCGAGTCCGTCAGAGGTGGAGCGTTTGAAGGTGACCGGGCCCAGCGGAGGGGCCGTGGTTCTGGGGGAGCAGAGTTGAGAGGGAGGAGGCACCGGGCCGGCTCAGCAGGGCCCACTGACCACGGCTCCAGCTCAGACAGGCTCTTCCTGGAGGCCCTGAGATAGACGTCTTGGGGTCGTTTGTGGCTTCAGGACCAATTTTGTTCTGATCTGAGATTGACTTGGAGGGTGAGGGGAACTTACTCAGGCTTCTCCTTCTGTTCATGGTTGTTAGATATGAAATAAAATCCCCAAGAAGCAAACTTATGGATTTCCCCATTTTTACTTCTGGAAAACAAAGACAAACAAACAAATAAAATAAGAGACCTGAGCAGTGTTTCTTTAAATATCTCAGATACATTTATTGTTTTGCTGTTGAAAACGAAGTCTTGGAAGAGAACATTTTTTCACGTTTCATACCATACTTTTAAATATAATCAATTAGAAAAGGAACCCTAAAAATAAACTGTCAACACCCAATGCTGTCAAAGATGAGGAATAATAGAAACATTCATTCATTGCTGGTAGGGATGCAAAATTGTACAGTCACTTCAGAAGGTAGTCTGTCACTTTTGTGCAAAGTAAACCTCCTCTTACCGTAAGATCCAGCAGTTGCTCTCGTTGGTATTTACCCAAATGAGTGTAAAAAAACTTAGGGATTTCCTCCATGAGGCTGGGCAGTCCAGTGCCAACCCTGTACGATTTCTGAATGTGGGAATAACTGTGCCAGTTTCCATTCCCACAAGAAGAGGCTTCATGGGCTCCGAGCTAAAATATAACGTCAGCTGATTCTCCAGGAAACAGAGGTGGCAGCTCAGGCCTTTGAAGGACTGTGCTTATTGCTTTTGTTCAACTCAACCGACTTACCGGATATCGGCAATGGGTACAGCTCGGCAGAGGGTGACTGGAACGTAGTCTGTTCTCAGCACTTAGTGAACAGAAAGCATGGGTTACGTTTGTCTGTCTTTTGTTTGTCCGACAGATCCAGTCGAATCCAGGACTCGGTGTGAGGAACGGCACCTCCGGAGCCGACACGCGCCTCCAGGCCTGCAGCAGGGTGCCTGTCTCCACAAGGAGGGCCCTAGAGCTGAGGCGGCAAAGGAGCGGGGGCAGGAGGTCCAAGGTGGTTTCTCTGGAATTCCCTGAGCCCAGGGGGAGCCCGGCGTCGCAGGGCCCTAGTGACATGTTGTGGAAGAGCCCTGGCGGCTCATCCCAGGTCAGCGGCCAAGCCACAGATGCCCAGCTGCCTCTGCATTCTGCCCACCTTGAACCCAGGGCCAGAATGAAGGCCTTCAGTCTGAAAAACAGCTTTGAGAAGCTGGAGGCAGAGACCAACGTTGACACAGGGTGTACTGTGGTCAACTCTGAACGCAGGCAACCTCTTCTGAGCAGATTCCCAAGGGATCCGCACAGCAGCCAGCCGCCACTAACCTCCTCCTTAGGGGCAGCTACCTCCAGACACAACAGACTCTTGAAGGAGAGCGTCCGTCCTTTGTCACTTGCTGGCCAAAGGGAACTTGGTGCAAGGCAGATCATTTCAAAATGTCCCCTTCATCTGCCAGTTCAGGGTGAAGAAAAAGAAGGAGAAGAAGAGTTCTTTATATAGGGTGAAACCAATGTGGTTTTCTAAGACACAAGATCACGTACAATGTTCTAGACATGCGGTACTGTTTCTTGTTTATCTGAGGGGCCCAAATGCTAGCCAGGAAGAGGTCTGTGTGGCCTTTATTTCAAATGTTCAGAGTCTAACGGTGCTGCGAGCGGTTGTGTATTTGCCATCACAGCCACGGTCCTAAGGGAACACAGCCAACGCACGCACGGGGAGAAAGCCCAGGCCGCGTGTCCTGGGAGACGTACTAACCCAGCTGGGAGTGTGGAGATCAGCACCAGTCAGGATAATTGCATTGTATGCAAATGCTTCGAATCTGTTCTGCGATGTTGATTAGTGTTTGTAATTTGGTTTTAATTTTTACTGCGGTTGCATAGCTCATGCCCTGGATAGCATGGACTGTTTATGCTTTAGTGTTTTTTAATTTTTATGTGACCTCCTTTTGTAACTGGGCCCTGGGCACCACATCCCCTCTAGTGATTGTGCCTTTAAAGTTGTTTGCATCTGGAATGAGTTAACATGCAAAGTGTTTTGAAACTTAGGAATAATTAATTTTCTTTCCTGTTTAATGAACAGAAACACCGGAAGCCAAAAAATCAGGTTACAAAGGAAAGCGAGGCTGTAGGTTTTCCTGCTCTTCCATTTCTCATGTTTCTGCACCACTCCAGGGGGACCAGAGGTCCGCGTGATTAACCAGAGGGGAACACAGCACGATTTTATGGCAGGATGTTTGCATCGTTTGGGTTACAGAACAGGACTTAGGTTCATCTGGCCATGTCTGAATTCCTAAATTCCTTTGCAATATTCACGCATGCATTCATTCAATGAACATTTACTGGGCACCTACGTTTAACTAGCACATTGATACACGGTATACCTGCATTCTGTGGCCGTCAAATCAGAAGTCTTCATGGTTTCACCAGTGTGATGATAAATCTATTCTATCAACTCAAGAATGTATTGAAGTCCAAACTTATTCCTCCAGGAACTTTTCCACAGCTCATCTCCACATTTGCTGCAGGAGGATGCGGTGAGCATTCACAGCCTGCAGATGCAGACTCAGCATGCTCTGCATTGCAGTTACAATCACAATAGACAGATTTTCAATTGCTCATAGGCTGCCTTCTTTTTGGGTGAGTCTATACCCACATTTTTAAAAAAAGTTTGAGGTCTATGTGTTTTAGTTCTTTGATAAGGTTATTCCTTTGTTTTATATATATATATATATATATATTTATTTTTCAATGACAGTTTACATTCAGTATGATTTTGTATTAGTTTCAGGTGTGCAGCATCGTGGCTAGACAATCATATACTTTACAAAGTGTTCCCCTCTAAATTTCCAGGACCCACCTGGCACCATACACAGTTACTGCATTATTATTGGCTATATTCCCTGTGCTGTACTTTATGTCCCCGTGACTATTTTGTAGCTACCATTTTGTACTTCTTAATCCCTTCACCTTTTTCACGCAGGTCCCCAAACCCCCTCCCCTCCAGCAGCCACCAGTTTGGTTTTTGTGTCTGTGAGTCTGTTTCTGTTCTATTAGTTTATATTGTCCTTTAGATCCCACATATTAGTGAAACCATATGGCATTTGTCTTTCCCTGACCGACTTATTTCACAGAGTATAATACCCTCTAGGTCCATCCACGCTGTCGTAAATGGTAAGATTTTCTTCTTTTTAATGGCTAAGTAATATCCCATTGTGTATATGTACCACAGCTTGATAAGGTTATTTTACTCTACGAACTTCCTTCCCAAGAGAGTTGACACGTAAGATTACCAATGATGACTTAGCCAGATCTTTTGGAGACCTGGTTACTTACCACATCCAGTTGGGGAGAAGGGTGCGGTCAGGCCTGTGGATGAGCCTTATGGCAGCAAGACTGGACCGAGTTTGGGGTGCTCTGCCCGGCTTAGGATACAAGTGGATGACGGTTGCTAACGAACAAAGACATGACTTTTAAATGGACATTTTTGGTTTTTACAGCATCAGTATATTCTCATTCTTATTCTCTTTCTCTCCCTCAGATTAAAGGTCAATCTTAGAAAATGGAATGAAGAACTTGACTTCGGTATGTTTTTTCTGTAATAGCATTTTAAAAACGAAAGTCTTATTTCAGTTAAAACTATTGCATTGCTTTGAAAAGCACAGCAGGGGGACGTGCTGACATTTCTTTCCCACCTTTAAGAGCTTGCCTGCATTTCTTTAATGCAATCCATGGGTAAGAATACAAGTACATGGAAATCATAGGGAATGTTTCAAAATTTCAACAGCTACCTTTCAAAATTGGCTTGTAAAATAACATACTCTTAAAACATCACCTGTGCTATCCTACTCAGCATAGGAACCCAGTTTACAATGTGATAGGGTGGAAATACCAGTGGGCGAGGTGGAAGAGGCCCAGGTTTTGGTTTCAAGCTTTAAAATTTACTGTTGAAGTGACCTTGAACTGTCAGCCTCCGTGATCCTCTGTTGCCTTGTCTACTGTAATGAAACGTTGCTAGAAGAATCAAGATTATGCATATGAAAGCATCTGGATATTGCCAGGCATTATAAACATGCAAGATAGTATTAGTTCATGGTCCTTCAAACTCACATTTTTAAAATGTCATGGCAACAAAAGACTTTTCGAGACAAGTTTTAGTAAAATCAATGATACAATGCAAAATCCAGTGACATAATGATTACAAATAAAAGAACTCTTTCTAAGATTATTAGTATGTTTGCCACTTATTTTCATCTATCAAAGAGGAAAATTATAGATAGAATTCAGTTAGACTCTGGAACTCATAAGAGATTACATGAAAAGGGTTAACTAGACACTAATCCAAGTTATCAAGTTAGACTGTTAACTATAATGATACTGTATTCCCTAAAATGTAAAATGTATTGCTTTTTAAATAACTGAGAGGCTTCTGATGATCATATTATTTTATTTTCCTTATAAGCGTTGCATTGCTGTCACTCGGCTATTTTTAACTTTATTAATAGTGTTTCATACTTTTTTTGCAAGGGCTATTTGGACATCCCTAAACACGAACAGAAATGGTATTATTTGCAAACCTGTGATGGCCTTTGCTGGCTATGGGGTGTGGGCTGCACACACCTGGATTCAGAGAGGGAGGTGGACCAGTGCCACAACTGTGCCGCCATCAGGGGGACAAAAGAGATATTTTAAAAAGGAATGTACGTTCAGGAAATTCCCCCATGGGAGCCCCACTGCGAGGCAGAGCCCACCTGAAACACGTCCCATCTGCCCCTCTCCTGACTTGGACACGAGACATAGACCCAGCCGATTAGGTGTATTCTCCCTGGAGTGTGGCTGCTCCTCCTTAGGGATGGGGAGACTTCTTTAGGGTGGGGGAGGCAGGCTGCGGTCCTCTGGCCCCAGAGAGAGGGATGGCAGTCTTTAGTCACGGGGCCCTTAGTCCACACTGGTCCCAGGGCCTGATTTGGTTCTGATTGTGCCTGTTCATCTCCTTTTTTTGTTGTTGTTCTTGTGCATTTTCTGAGCCCATTTCTCTAGCCTTCTGATAAATTTATTCCCAGGTCCAATCAGCCAGGATCAGGTCTGTTCTTGCACCAAATAACTGAGACTGGTACCGAACGAAACAGTAATAGAAGTTAAAGCCAAGAACAAAACTGGGGCACCGTATTAGGGAATTGAATTTTCAAAGAGATAAACAAAGATGTTAAAAAACAGTTCGTTTGGGGGCTCAGTGCCTCTTTGAAGTTCTCCTGGCTTTGATTCTTTTCACTCTTTTCTTTCTGGGTCGCTTCTAGCTTCTCCCTTATGGCTGTGACAATGAGAAGACCTGCTCCCTTCCCTTTATCAGGCTAAGAAGGATGCAAGGTGGGACCCACTGGGGGAGGGGAGTTTTTTTTTTTTAATTTATGCAAAGCAGGTCTGCCTCTAGACTTTGTTCAGGCTAGACAAAAAGAATCCTGTGAGCTACACATGGTCTGGCCTAGGTCAGCAGGACAGGGCCTCAAATTAGTTAGAGCCCTTTCATTTATCAGCAAAAGAGACTGAGGACTAATTAATACAAAAAAGGGAAAGAAAGAAAGGTACCGAGTCATTTTCATGAAGGGATGATTTCAGGGAACCACAGTCCCAGCGTCACATCCCACCGGCAGAGCCCCCTAGTGGACAGAGGGAGCCCTTTCTCAGAGCTCCCGAAGAAAATTCCCAGGTAGTCGCTGATTGGCTTGCACGGAGGGACGTGGACCAATCACTGTGTCCGGATGATTGCGTTCTCTGGCTGTTGAGGCTTTGGCTCTGTGTCCGTTTGTGGGAATGAGAGCTGGCGTATGGGGAGGGGGCTGGAGATCCCTGGGAGGCAGTCAGCCCCACGTGGATAACATGTGCATCCTGCACAGGAAAGAGGCTTTTTTAGTCATCAGAAGTGAGATGCTTGGCAGACCACAAGAAGCGGCATCCACTCATGGCCCAAACTGTAGCTGGTAACTGAGGAACAGCACCTGCCATGTGGTTCCCGTGAGGGGGACCTTGGGCTCCCGTGTCCTCTTCCTTGCGGTGCTGGAATATGCTTGTAAAAAACGGGAGACCTTCGGTACCTGGCCTCCCTCAGTCGGCTTTGTTTAGAGCTTGTGTTAGTTTCCTCGAGCCGTGGTAACAAATGTCCACAAACGTCGTGGCCTGAAAGAACAGAAAGGTGTGCTCTGACAGTCTGGAGGCCACGTGTCCACAATCAAGACGTCGGTGGGGCCAGACTCCTTCCGGAGACCCCTTCCCTCCTCTTCCAGCTCCCCTGGCTGTGGCTGCGAAACTCCAGGCTCTGCCTCGCCTTCATGTCGCCTTCTGGTCTGTATGCTGGTCTCTGTTCCACAGGGACACTCGCCATTGGATTTAGGGGTCACTTGGATAATCCAAGATGACCTCGTTTTAAGATCATTAACTTAATGACATCTGCAAAGACCCCCTTTCCAAATAATGCCTTATTCACAGATTCTAGGGGATAGGGTCTGGACATAGCTTTTTGGGGTCTACCATTCAACCCACTACAGAGCTCTTATAATGCTGTGATCTTTTCTGGGTTAGTTTAGTTATTTATTTGTATCATCTGCCATTTTCCATTCACCCCACCCCCACCACCACCATCATATACACACTCACACACAAATATAAATCCCATCAGAGTTAGTACCTAAGTGTCATC